TTTGGTACCAAGTCCACCAACGCCGCACGGTAGTCACATTTACACTTAACCGATGCGCAACCTGATGCATGCTAGGGTCTGCCTCCAACATGCCAACTAACCGACCTCGATAGAACTGGTCAAGTTGGCGAAACTGCCTTTGTAGACATCGTTCTGGCATGGCTTTAAAGATGAAATGAAAACGATTGAAGCAATGCAGAGTAGAAGGAGGGAAGCAGAAAAGGAAATTGGCCTCATCGGTGTAGTCACCCTATTCCCCATCCCTCGGGACGTTCGGCTAGCTCGGCAAGTTTTCCCTGTGTAACGATCGGTACTCTGGCGTGGCCGGTAATAATAAATTGCAACTAGCAAACTGCCTTATCCTTACTGATTGAGAAAATTTGTTTCCTTTGGAAAGGTTCGTAGTGGTCGATACGGAATCAATTACCTTGGGCATGAATTCCTAAGCGAACCAGACTTCACATAGATTATATTTGTTCTAATTTTGCTACATAACTTACGGTCCAAATGAAAGAAAATATCAATTATATTAATAACCAATGATCTAATATCCTCAGCACAACCAAGTGAAGGCAACAGCTTCAGTTCGCAAAATAACAATGCAATTCTGAGAAAAGATCAACTAAAACTAGCTCACTAAAAACTAAAACTAGCCCTTCGATGCAGCAGCGTTCGCATCGTATCTCGTGATTTATTGAAATCACGGCTAACACAATGAAATCGAAAGGGGTTGCTCGGGTTCCAACCGTCCCACGCTCACTCTCCGATCTCGCCCTTGCTATTTATGATCGTTCCTGCCGGCTTCAACCACCAAAGAACAGGATCTGGCTCCAACCGGATCCGCCTAAGTCCGGCTTCAACCAGCACTTGGTTACTCGGCCCCAACCGAATAGAAATAACAAGGTTCCTGATTACGAACGGGACCCTAGTCCTGACACTTGGTGACATTAGCGAAGTCTGGAACACTTTGTCCTCTCACCTTCTCCACCTTAAGTTCGAGGTCGAGTTTATATTGTGTTCCTTCCCATTAGTCCATGTCACGGCAAGTGGAACCATGAGTATCTGGATGACTGGACGAATGCTACCACATCAATAATAATCCTTTAATGAAGTGATTCTCCGGACGAACGTCGATTCCTTTTGACACATGTCTTGAAGCGCCATAGATCAAAAGGTATCATTCCTTTTCTCACACCACCGTTCTTTTCGTCTACCGGGTACACTAACGCCACTGAATGACGAATGGACGATATAAGAATTAATAGTTTTTTTCATTATTCCTGGGAACTCATTAGGCACCCAAGAATGGAAGATGATTAGTCACTGGGGTGCTACACCTGCATGCGTCATCTTATGACCTTGAAACATTTCTCCATAGTACCAAACATCTGTAGAAGTTCCTGTTTCGCATTTCATTAATAAACTCCTTCTAGATGTTCGTTTTGGGCGATAAGTACGACCTCTTTTACCCCACTTAAATTGGGATGTTTGGCAAGTTTTTTCAGCGAATATTCAACCGAAGACCTTGAAACGAACATCTATTTCATGACACACTAGTACAAATATGTTTATCAATTTTCATCAGGATTGTTAAGAGCACTCAAATCAGAAGATAAAAGAAGAGCCGTGTCCTTCCGATCTAAAGGATGAAAATCATCATCATCAAGGATGTCCGGCGCATTTTTTTAACCCGCAAGTTTTAAATGGTGTAGCACGTGATGTATTGATGACTGGACCTCTTTCGACCCCTTCCCTCGCTTTCCCAGCAAAAAAAACGAACATTCAATCAGCGTTAAATGAACGCTAATTTTAAACCTTCCAACTGTTGTCATGGGGCAATTCTATGTCAAATCAACATAGCCATTTACCTCACCCCCTCCGATTTCCATGAAATTTGTTGTATTTGTCGGGACAAGTGAAAAACAATCCCATGCCAAATTGCAGCTCTCTACATAAGTACTTCCAGAGATGCAGCTATTTGGAAGGAGAAAAAAGTGACCAATTTCGGGGCAAGTCGTCATCGTTTAAGTGCGAATAACTTTTATTATAGTAAATATAGAAAGCTGGAATGGGAGTTATTTTAAAGGTCTCTTCATTCCTTTTCAAATTATATGCCACTCAAGAATCTTAAATAAAAATTAAGGTCAGAGGTCAAAGGATCTGATTTTTGACCTTTAATTACTGAGAAAATTGCATTTTTATTTCCTTCGAAAATTATTATTGCAAATTCGTTCTGCATTAGTATTCAAAGTTTAAATTTGGGACTGCTATTAGCCTACCATGGACTATGTGAGAATTGCACATTTGTAATGTAGGCCGAACGTTGGACGCTAGAGGGCCTGCCCGAACATGCAGTATTTGGCAAAGATTCAACGCTTTCGGCAATTTAATATATACATACGAGGGCTGCCCTGAAAGTTTTTAATTAAAGAAAAAAGATTAATAATTTTGTTGAATTCAAGTTATTGCTTTTCCAAATATTCTCCCTCAACACTGTTACACTTATTCATTCTTTGAATAAATTTGTCAAAACAACTTGAAAATGCTTATTTTGCCAGGTCCTCAAACAGGCTCGTGAATTCTGCGACGGCTGCATCTGCGCCCAAAAATGTCCTTCCCCGCATCTTGTTTATTTTGCTGCTGTTGGAAAAAAAAAGGCCCACGAGGTCAGGTCCGGACTTTGAGATGGATGGCTCACAAGTTGGACACCAGATTGGCGTAAAAAGTCCAACGTCTGAGCGGCACTGTGCGCCGGTGCGTTGTCGTGGTGAAGCAGAATTCCTCGCAAGTCCCAAGTGATGAGTTTCAATCGCTTTTATACACCGATGATAAGATATCGGCTATGTTTGGAAATGTATTGTTCTGTCGCTCGGTAATGGATTGTTCTTTTGCGTGATCAGACGAACTTTTCAGTTGAACCGTTATATATGACGTAACTAAGAACTTTCAAAACAGCCCTCGTATGGAAGAATCTTGCGTCCTTCCATCTAAGAGAACTATCTGAAAATATATTCCCCGAAAAGGTGTATGTTGGCATGTATCAAAAAAGGAGAAATTTTCCTGAACTCATCATGCGAATAGCTACTGTCAGTCAGTCAATTACTCACGATCGTCTATGTGCAGCAGAATACTAACGAATAATTCCTGAAAATGCCTCGCCTCCACATTAGCACCAGTGACCAACAGTGTGAGGTAAATGGCTATGTTGATTTGACATAGAATTGCCCCATGACAACAGTTGGAAGGTTTAAAATTAGCGTTCATTTAACGCTGATTGAATGACTGTGACCCCCAACGCGCGGGCCTACGATGCAATGCCATTCTAGGTCATAGGCCAGGCCTACAAGGCTGCGCCTTTCCAACCCATCAATCTCATACTTTAATTCGAAGAGCCCAAGAGTTCCGTGGTGTAGTGGTAGCACACCTGACTGGCAAGGAAGAGGTCCGGCTTCAATTCCAGGCTGCCCACAGACTTTCGACACCTGAGTACTGCGTTTCTTGCATCAAGTTGCCCAGTAGGCTGCATGGCTCTCCTATTCCTGAGCTCAGTATTCGCTGCCTCTTGCAATTCAACCTTATGCTCCCAACGTGGAACTGGGTACTGTTCATCAGTCATTCTTGCCATTATGGCTAGCACCTCCTAAAGCATCGATTTAGGCACTTCGCACCACAACTGCAGTTGCAAACGTTGTTTCCGCGCCAGCACCAATCGTTTATCTGCAGCGACTGCCTCATCGCCGTCCTGTGGGACCTCCTTCAACATTTTTTCTTCGCCTTCAACCTCACCTCGCAAATATCGCCACCATATTGATAGGAGGAGCGACCCGTTTGCGCGACGTATGAAACAAATAACTTACGTTATTTTGATTTCATGAATCATGAGAACTCAAATCTGTCATGATATGAAACGCAAACAGAAAACTATTGCATAGAAGTGACGTCCCGAACCGTCATGCCTGACCTAACGGAAAAAATAAATATAGAAAAAAAAAACACTTCAGCAAAAAGTGCATTCAAATGGAGAACATGCAGTCGATCAGTGTAAACGTGACATGCATTCAGTTATTACCACCCTTTGATTGACACGGCTAAGTGTGAAGCCTATGGCTCAGACTGATATAACTCGATAAACCTGGCGCTAAAAGCGTTGGATGGTCAAGCCTATGGCCTAGAATAACATAGCCTGAAGGACCTGGCGCTTTGAGAGGTGCATGGCCTAGCCTTTGGCCTGAAGTGACATAGTCTTGTACGCCTCGCGCGCTGGGGTGAGAACCACCACCACCGCAACTCTTGGGCTCTTCGAATTAAAGTATGAGATTGATGGGTTGGAAAGGCGCAGCCTTGTAGGCCTGGCCTATGACCTAGAATGGCATTGCATCGTAGGCCCGCGCGTTGGGGGTCACAGCCACGACCACCACCACCACAACTTTTGACCTCGTCGAATTAAAGTATTAGACTTCTACGTGTGCCTTGTTTCACTATTCCATTTCTGTATCGATTCGCCACAACAAGTTTTTTTTTTCAAAACATCGCCCCTCGAAAAACTTCCCATAGGGGTTGTATCGAAACTTAACATTATCTTTAACTCCTTGTCTCATTAGTCACATGCATGCAAATTTTCAACTTTCCTTGTTAATCAGCTTAACTGACGCAAAAAAATACATGAATACATCTCCTTTTGGAATTTGTGCCCACAGGGCATTTACTTTCAAAGTCTGAATTTATTTCACGCAGCATCCCAATAGGTAGTTGTGTACCAAGTTTCATCTTTCCACACGAGCTCAATATGCCCGGACAAAAAAAAATACTTGAAAACGTCGGCCCCCAAAAAATATACCCCATGGCATATTATTGGGATGCATCTAAATTATCTTTAGGAGGCATGGATCTAAAATTGTGCACTTTTGTGAACTCATCGTCTCGTTGGCAAGTCAATTCCAGGTTTCAGCTTACAATGTCTCTCCGTTTTATTTGAGCAAAAATAATGTTTTGGAGGGGAAATGCGTAACCGGACATGGACGTCACGAAAAAGCAACAAAAGGCCATGTAGTGGCTGGGAATTGAACCAGAACATACTGTATGCCGGTAAAGTGTGCTACCACTACACCATCGAAACCAAGACATCTAGTCGTCTCTCGTCAATGCCATCCTTATACGTCACAATATATATTGTAAAAAAAACTTCTCCCCCAAAAATGTGTAGTCCCATAGGATGTACCTCCAAAGTCGGATTTTTTCTGAACTCTGCATCCGAAAAGGTACATGTGTACCATCAGATGACTCAATCTAATATATATAGACGATCATGACTGACTGACTGACTGACGCTAATTTTTTAACCATGTTCTAGGAAGGTTGGAAATCTGAAACTTTGTACAGATATGCCTTTGGGATGCAGAGTTCAGACAAAATCCGACTTTGGAGGTACATACCCTTTGGGTACACATTTCGGGGGGAAGCGTCTTATTAAAATATGTATAATGTGACGCATGATGATGGGATTCAGAAGGTGGACTAGATGTCCTGGTGGTGGTGTAGTGGTAGCACATCTGACCGGCAATCAGGAGATCCGTTTTCAATTCCCGGCCATTCCTTGCCATTCTTTTGGCTTTTTTTGCCTTCTATGTCCAATTACTCCGTCCCCCTCAATAACACTATTTTAGCCCGAGAAAAAGGGAGTTCCATGGAGAGCTGATACCTGGCATGGACATGCCTACCGAGACGATGAATTCAGGAAAAATGCAAGATTTTAGATCCATGCCCTGTAGGAATATTTTTGGGGCCGACGTTTTCAAGTATTTTTTTTTTGTCCTGGCGCTTTCTTTCACTCCCATTTTCCTGAATTTTTTTGATCCAACGAAACAAAGACAAACAATTTAAAATTCCCTCAGAAGTGCCTATTTGATGGCTGAGTACAGGAAAAATCTACCTTTGGAAAGATGTCCCCTTAGCGTAGATAATAGGAGGGAAGTATTTCAAAATGTACTCTCCACCCTTACAAAAAAGGGACACAAGAATAGATTTCAAGTTAGGCACACTAAAAATCATAGAAGTAATGATTTTGATAAAAATCAAGACTTTCTTCCCCACATGTCACGTATTTCAATGGGGACGTACTTTAAATAAGTTTTTGCCATTACCCAAAGAATAAATTAATTAATCACTATCCAAGGTAATGGAGTGCCGAAGGCGCGACCATAGCTAGTATATATATATATATATATATAAATATATGGAAATATTATTGCAATGACTTTGAATGTCTCTCATACTTCATGAAAAATCTTTATCATTGGCTTAGATCAAAATTATTAGACCTGCTTCAAGGTCCATCTTATTTTCCAGATGGATGTCAATTGACAACTGATTGAAAGTTGCCCAGTCTTCAATGTTCCAGTTTTGATACTATTGGATCTCATAGCTTCTGTAATGTGTGTGATATCCTGAAGCTTGTTGCAAAGTGGGTGGTTGTGATCCACAATCAAGTTGGCCTATGCAATTCTTCCAGTGTCAGTGCTGCATGACATCACTAGTAGTCAGATAATGCCCGGAAGAGTGAAGGTCCGCATCCTTGCTGGAAGGAATCTTCCAGTGATGGACAGGGCAAATGAGACAACTGATGCCTATGTAGAAGTAAAGCTGGCATCAACGATTCACAAAACTGATGTTTGTCGACGAACTCTTTCCCCACAGTGGAATTCAGAATGGTTTAAATTTGAAGTGGATGATTCTGATCTGCAAGATGAGCCATTGCAAATACGGCTCATGGATCATGACACATACTCAGCAAATGATGCCATTGGTAAGGTTTATATTGACTTAAATCCATTGCTGCTCCCCAGCATATCCCAAGATAGTTTCTTAATGCGGGATCATGTTGGACTTTCATCTGGTGGTTTGAAAATGGCTGGCTGGATCCCTGTGTATGATACCATGCATGGAATTAGGGGTGAAGTGAACATTATTGTGAAAGTTGACCTCTTCTCAGATTTCAACAAATATCGTACATCTTCTTGTGGTGTGCAGTTTTTCAGTACACCTGGGATTCCCCATGGCTTCAAGATTCAAGCAATATGTGGTTTTGTAGAGGAGTTAGTGGTTAATGATGATCCAGAGTATCAATGGATAGACAAGATTCGCACTCCTCGCTCCTCCAATGAGACCCGTCAGACACTGTTCACAAAACTTTCTGGAGAGGTTCAGAGAAGAATTGGGTTGAAGGCTCTGCACCTTGGGGGAAATGCAGTTTTAGGATATAAGCTATCTTTTGATTTGGAAGGAGAGTCAGGTATTGTTGTGCGGGGTATTGGCACTTCTGTGAGGATAGGGAGACATCAAGTGGCAAATACTTCCTACTGTGCTTCTGATGCAGAGACATCTCATCCACCAAGTCAAGAAAGAAAATTTGCTCTTGTTGAGGAAGATCTTGTTCCACCTGATGGAGTAGTGATTCATGCTTCTCCAAATCTTAACAGGCCAACATCAACAAGTAGTGCCAAGCTTTCTTGTAAAGATAGCGAGATATCACTCTCAGCAAGAAGGGGAAGCCATGGAGAGAGCGGTGAAGGAGGACTGGGAATGCAAGCGCATTTTGTATATCCTCGACCTCCGAATATTATTCATCAAGACAGCTTTGATATGTTAGAGTATCCCTTCCTCACAATGACTCATTTCCCTCCTGAATTCATTCGTCATCTTGGGGGCATTGTTTGCGCTCGTTCCATCAAGCTCTTGGATCGAATCCACAATCCAGAAGAACCAGAGACAAGGGACAGTTGGTGGACAGAATTACGAATGGAAATACGCTCTCATGCCAAAGCTCTTGGGTGCAATGGTGTTCTTGGTTATGAAGAGACTACATGCATATATGATGACATTTGCATTGTCAGTGCCATGGGTACTGCTGCTGTATTGAATCATACATCAGAGGAGATCCAGGACTATTTGACATCCAGAGGATTTCATGGAAGTAAAAGTGTAGTTTCCTTTTCCAGCATAGGAAAACTTTCAACTGTTGGTAGCCAAGTCCCACAAAACTGTTTAGGAGTATGTACTCCTTGTCATATTCCATACAGTGAGAACAACTTGCCTTTTCCCATTTCTCTCCAAAAATGTATGTTATGTAAGAAAGGTAAAGTTCCAGACATAATATTTGCCAACATAGAGCCACTGCATGGATTGCCACTGACTGGAAGGGGTACCTTGGTTCAAGCTCGTTTCACTCGAATGCTCAGAGACTGCAAGGGTGAAGCCATTGCAAAGGAAATTTCTGAATGTCTTCCTTTTGTAGAGTATGAATTGCATTGTCAACTCCTGCAAAAAACTCGTGTAAAGGGTATGAATGCCATATTTGGACTTCAGCTTCGTATTACTTTAGGTGAAAGAATGATAATTGGAATATCCACAGCAACTGCTGTATGTCTCACTGCTCTTCCTTCACCACCAATGCCTATTGTCAGCCAGGGTCATGGACATGCAAATTCACATGATCCACAAAATATTGATCAAATTAATTCAAATAAAAGCATTCCTGACATACCAGTAAAAGGAAAGCCAACTGTTTCACTGAGTCACCAGAAGAGCAAGCCAAGTCTGAATGCAATCTCCTCTCATTTGAATGGTGACCATAAAGACTTGGAGACTGATTCTGATGAAGATGGGGGACAATCCAACCTGGATCTGACTGCTGGAAACAAAGATGTGTGTATTCTAGAGGCAGATGATAATGATACTGAAGACATATCTCTTCTCAAGGATGCAAAAAGGCCTCCTGGAATTGACCTTGCCAACACAGATGATATTCCTGGATTGCCTGAGGCATGTTCTCAGAAGACACCAGAGAGTGTACAGTTGTTCACACAAGTTGTCAGAAGCAGAATTTCCCCATCTTTCCAGACCAAGCACTTAAGTGAAAGCTTAGACTATATGACAAAAGCACTGTCTTTCAAATTCCGTAAAAGTCTTCCTTGCCGTCTAACACGTTTGCATTATTTGATTGATCTCCCGGAGCAAGATGAAATTCAGATTTGTCTGATGGGAGTGGGGATTCTTCCAAGGAGTCCAAAATTTATTCCTGTGAATCGACGCTGTTCTGGAGGTCTCAGTCGACATGGCTCAGACAAGTTTGGCTCTGATGATGTTGATAGATCTCTCCAAAACATTGACCAGGTCTCCTTGGTAGAATCAGATGATCTTTCCAAACAGTTTCTTGACCCAGTGTGCATGGAGAATTGCAAAGGGCCAAATTCAGTTTTCTGTCAGACATTGGAGAAGCATGGAATAGATATAACTCTTCAATCTCATGTTCCTGGTGCTAAAATCTCTCAGTACCTTGGCTATCTGAACTTCTTCTTTATTCGTGAGAGCACCAGCATTCGAGAGAGTGGGGGATTGCCAATGTTTTTACAGAGCTTTATATCTGAGGTCATGGCCATTCTTCGAGCTCATGTGGCTGCACTGGGAGGAAATGCCATGGTCTCCTACTTTATGAGTGAATGTGTCCTTGAACACAACAGCAACAAGAATCAAGGTCAATGCCTGATAAATGTTGGGGGAGATGTCGTCAGAGCTGTATATAAGCCACCAGAAGTGTGATTTTTGAATGTAGCAAAATTTTCTTCATTTGCTCATCGTTCTCAGTAGTGCAGTGAATCTTGTACTGTGTCTGTTTTGTCATGAATCCAAATATTAACATATTTTATGTTTTAGGTCTTATTGATATTTCAGTGGGACTCTTGAGGGTTCTTTGGATCTCATTCATGTGTCATAATTTATATTTTTCATTGATAATTGAGATACCAATATGTTTTTATGCTTCAGGGCATGATCTGGAACCTTACAGTGCTCCTTTGACAATTTGACTTTTTTAAATTTATTGCTTATAATGTTATTCATAGCAAGTTTCTAGCAAATGATTTAATATTTAATAAATAATGTAATATAGCTTATAGGGAAGTTATTAACATGTCATTGTTTCTTCACTTTATAAGTCATTGCAGAAATAGCAACAGCTGTTTCAAAGCTTGTTAATTTAAGGAAGAGATTATGAATTGGGATTTTCATCCCTTCACAATTTCCCTCACACTTGTGTAAGATTGCCTGAAAAGTAAGGACATTAATTTACTATGCTGACTCTCAGAGAAAGGTGTCAAGATACAGTGAACTTATTTAAATATGGAAATTGAACAAAAGATTCAGAGCTGACCTGGGTAATTATTGCCCATGGTTGGAGAAGTTCTCCTCTGTTGGCCTAATCGAAATCTAGGGTTGGAGTTAATGTATCCAGTAAATACAACTATAAGTAGAAGTAGCTTATGCAAGAGACTTACTCAACCAGAGCAGGTTAGCCTCACTTGCCCATCTCTCAATGTATGATCCTTTTGGTTGTCAATGAAGTATCACAGAAATACATATTAGGGATAATATTGGTCAATTGTTTGTTGTCAATTTGACATTATGTTATTATTTTTGACATTGATATGAACATTTTGAACATTTCAAGAAGAGCAAGAACCTGCTTTTTTCAGATTGGGGAATGATAACTGAAGTATGCTCACCTTTTTCACTAGAGTTGAGACTCAGTTTCCTGGTGCATAGTCAAACATTCCTCAATTTTCATTGTGCATTTCAAGGTTTTCTTGAACAGCTGCCAGCTTAGCAGTGGTGCAGCAGTGGTAGCTGATGATATACAGGGAATGGGGGGAAAAAATGACTTAAAACTTTTGACACAAATGTCTCCACTCACACTGGAGCTATTTTGGTGAAATTTTCACTTTGCATGTAAGAGTATGTTTTATATCTGATTCACAAATATCTGGATTTTTTGAGCCGAAGCACTACTATCAGGAATTATTGAATAAAGTTAGACATTAAGAATGGAAAAGAGCTCCTGCTGGTATGATACTTGAGCGGAGGAAACACGAGCACTGTCTCCTCAGGGAAATTCTGTATGAACTTTTGTGTAAACTCTCAGGATTGATATCCATTGACTCATCTATTATTAATTGGAAATAAACTCATGAAAACCATTTGCAGGAGACACCCAACCCAACGAATGAATTTAAAAGGATGAGGACCTCAACGTGGACCAGGAAGGACAGCGTTCATGTGTTCCCTCCACTCTACTACCTGCAGGAGCCTCGTTCATTCTCAATGCCTAACTTCTTCTCAATAATTGACGATCGTATTGCTTTGGCACAACAATTTTTGGTGAAATTTTAAGTATCAGTTAGAAACATATTCATATATACAAAGTGAAAGTTTCGCGAAAATAGCTCTGTTGTGAGCGGAGATATTTAGGCTGAAAATAATTTTGTTTTGCCGTACCCTGTATATACCGTGTAAGGCAAAAAAAAAACACGCCGCCCTATAAGCTTCTTTGGAGTTCATGATATAGCAGATATAGCAGATAGTAAGGCAACTTTTTCTTGCTACAACTTCTACGTATCCTTTTAAACGTCCTAAATTTCTCATTCATCTTTCTCCAGTAATTTTAGCTCATGAGTGAAAACAACTCGATTTTTTATTTTTGCGTGAGAAAACGTGTCGGCGAAAGATTGGTTGCTATGCGTTGAGCGCACCGATCTCAGGCCAGAGCTTCTCTCTGTGCTGAAAATATTTGCAAAAGGATGGTGTGGGACAAGAATTTTCTGGCAAGGGATGAAAGAAATGTAAGACCTATCGTTAAGCAGTGTAGGGAAAAAAAAAAAATTTTCCCCGCGAACCTGAGGCGACCAATCGGAATTTCCCTGGAAGAATATGCCAGTGGACAAAGCGGGCTGGGCCGACTCCTCCCGCCCGCTCGTCTCCGTTCCCGCGAACCTCGTTCGCAGGTTCGCGAGGGTTTTCCTAACCTGTATTCACGAGCTGCGAGAAACCGGTTCATCTGAGGGAAGAGGAGCAGAAGCCTGACACTAGCCGGAACTGAAGGAAACTGCGTTAATGGGAAAGAAGTAATTGTTTCTCATGATGGTAATTCTGGTGTGCTAAATTCCCATCTGCAAATTGCCAGACATAAGGACGAGTCAGAGATCTGCTCAGCAGATTTTGAAATGCAGAGGGGGAAAAGCTTGAAAGAATCGTTATTTCAGTGTTTTGCAGGTTCTCCCGGCAGCATCCAGGTGCGAGTGAAAAAAAAAATTCAAGTTATTTTTGTGAAATCATTGTTTGCTAAATCGGCTAAACGGGAAAAATTTTTCAAACGCACGAAAAATACATCTCTTCCCTGCTATTTTGCCTATATTTCATTGAAGTATGTTTCTGAAAATGGCATTTTAATGTTAAGAAAAATAAGGATTTTATTTCTACCAGAAGTAATGAAGTTCATTATTTTCTTAATCATTAACTTCAATTTAGATAAAAGTTTAAATTTGATAAGTAATTTGTAAAACAGGTTTGCATTTCTCAAGCCCTGTTGGTTCCCTGAAGCTGAATTTAATATTTTTTCTATGCTTATTAATTTTTCAATTCAGGCATAAATTGAAAATGGCATTTGAAAGGACAATAGGAAAGGATTTAAGAACTACATTTCTCATGGTCTAGAGTCTCATTCATGATTTTTCTCTTAGCTATTGTTTCTAAACCATTTACTATTTAAAAATAGTAAATGGTTTAGTATTATTAATTGATGAGGTAGCAGAATCAATCATTTATTCAAGGGTTTTCTCCTCTTCATTTGCTCCCATGCTCATTCCTCTTAGGCCTGTATTCTGCTATAACTTGTCTGAGTCACATTCCAGGAAGTGAATTTTTTCAGGATGCCAGAATCAGTTGGGTCTGTTAATAAAAGTTGCTGTGGACTTTTTTGAACTAACGGCTTGGAACGGCTTGTTTGACCAAGCGCATCAAATGCTTGTCATGAGCAGTATTTAAAAGGATTCTTGATTCTTGCAGGTGATAGCTGCTGATTGTCATTGCCTGAAGTTCTTCAAAATATCCCCCAAGTGGGAAAGCTTTCTTTAGAAAGGTCAAACTCTAAAGGCTCTGAGCTGAACTTCAGAAAAAATGGCTCTATCCATTCTGGGTTGCCGGCTGTGCCAAGCAACTACTCTTCGGATGCCCATTAAGTCCTCCATCTCATCATTTGGACGTGGAAAGTTGCTGTGTGAGACTAGGCTGCAGTCATTTGGGAGTGAGGGTAGGACTGGCCTCACAAAGAGAAGAGGTGGGAGGTCTCTACGGGAAATCATAACTGCACCTGCTGGCACTGGAGGTGAATATACTATCGATAAGGAGACAATCAAAAGACAGCATTGAGGACAAAGCTAGACTATAAAATGATATAGGTTGAGCTTCATTGATATGCTCTGTAACTTTTTCATGGTTAATGCATGGTTGAATTAGAAACTTTGATCACAAGTGATGTCACTGTTTTAACCCTAAAATTAATATTGTGTAAGAACCAATGTAAAGCCTTTCTGTGCTGGCTACCAAGTGCTGTGCATTCACCACCATTGAACCACCACATGTCTTGGCAGCTTTCACTGTGGGTCGAATGGCTGTAGCAGGATCATCAGCCCTTGGTCTGGGAATGCTGTGTTACTATGGGTTGGGACTTGCATCAAAGGAAGGTGCAATTGATCGTGCATAGTAAGTTATTGACTTATTACATGAAGCAATTATGTTGATATTCAGATATGAACTGCTTCCATAAAATGCTTTTAGTTAACCCTATAATTAAACTATTGGAGTAATTCTGAAATTTTAGTTGCAGAAAGTAGAGCCACTATGTATGCATCAGTAGGCTGTTGCAGTTATGCATCTGTTGAGGAGCACCATCACTACTGTAGTACCATATTCCTGGTCATGACTGGATTTAAGCAAAGAGTGGTTCAATCAATTTTTAAAAAGTGACAGTGTATGAAATGAATGGTGATGAAGTCACAGTAAATGGTAAAAGGACAAAGAATCAAGCATCTTTTGATTATGAACAATGGAGTTTATAGACTATAAACTTGTAGGTGGGAAAAAAATTGAGATAACCAAAATGAAAGAATAGTAAGGTGGCTTTCCATTGAACAAATCGGCCAAGGTATATGCTTTGGTATGCCAATGTTCTTTTTTTTATTAATAGTTTTAGATTAAAAAGGAAAGAGATCTTGGTCCATCCTAATCCACTGGTTAAGGAAAAATTTTATAGCATCTTAACATAGTATGTAATGTTTATTCTCTTTGCATGTGACCTATAAACAGAGTGAGTCAAAAGTCTGGCCTCATAGGGAGCACTTGCATATTTAAAAGGTGTTCAAAATGCATACCCTGGAGGCAAGAGCAGATGTCCATGCGATGGAGGAAACTTTCCCTCACACACTGGAGGGTGTTGGGTGTGATTGCTGCACATTCAAATACACATTGCATAAACATTGTGTATTGAGCAAAATGTGGTCAGTCCCTATGAGACAGGACTTTTTACCTCTCTTTTATAGAGAGTTTAAAAGATCACTTCCCTCATTTTACTTGTGGGTTTGATAGGACTCACCTCTGTGAAGGAAAATAAATCCTAATTTGATTCAACTAATGTTTACATTCATTTAGGTGTATTATTTTGGGAATAGTGCAGAGATGACCTAATCTGATCTAAGAAATTCAATTTGAGTTGTGAATCATCAATAACATGCAGAATTGGTTCAAACTAAATGTGAATTTAAGCAATTCTGCATGTGTATTGTAGAATATGGCATGTCTGATGTTGCAGAAACTAAAAGAATTTGTTAGCTACAATGACAGTGGACAAAATGGTAGAATTCATGACATTTAAACTCATTTGGAAACCATATAAAATTACATATTTTAATGTAGAAACACCATTTAACATGACACAGTCAGCCATAAGTCCCTTATTAAAGTAAGTAGTCCTATATTTTACTGCACACTTTTATGTTTCTAGTTTTTACTTTTGTTTGTCACTTCTAATGTTCATTGTCAATGTAAACATCAGTTCAGTGAATTGCCAGCTTTGTGTGCCAAGGGGTTAAAGAAAAGTTTATTATGGTGAAGTTTCTGAGTTTCCTTTATTGCACATGGGGTGTATGTTTTGCACAGATCTTCAATGTCTATATTCAGGGGCAAAGGCTAGAAGACTACATTTGTTGTTTCTGGAACCCAACAAAAAATTTTCATTGCTAAAATGTATGGCTGAAAGTTACCATCCTCGCTCAGCACTTTTGCTAATATTGCAAAAGACCTCAGCATTTTTTAGGATGTGTAATTGCAGCATCTGACATTCCTTGTATGAGAAAGTAGTCTTGGGACCATTAATAAAAAAGATTTAGTTCTGCATGTTGAAAGCTATAGTTTCAGCGTTTTTTTAATAGAAAAAATGGTTCCTGTGCAGTTTTAAATCGTCACATCATTTATGTTTAACAGGTTGCTGTCAAAGCAATAGTTTCTTTCCAAAAAATGTGGCATTCAGTGTTTTAATTTTTGCTTCCTTTTTGTTTTTTCTCATGTTAGTGCGTGGCCCCACTATGTTAGAGAACGCATAAAATCCACATATCTTTACTTTGGTGGAGGACTTGTCTTCACTGCTGTGGCTGCTGCTGGTGTTTTGCGATCACCAGCCTTGATCAGAATGATGAGCCAAAACTCTCTCCTGGTGAGTGTATCAAAGGTTCATTTGGAAGGTGAACTACCAGAATGAATAGTTTTTCTCACCATAATGCATCAATGCAGGCTGTCATGGGGACTCTTGCAGCCTTGATTGGTTCTGGGATGTTGGTACGATCCATTCCATATAATGGGAAGGATCTCCTTTTGAAACATCTGGCATGGGCTGTTCATTGTGGCATTATGGGTGCAGTCATTGCCCCCCTCTGTCTTTTGGGAGGTGCAATTGTTGTTCGAGCTGCATGGTAAGTATGTCTGTCCAAAATTGTTCCTTCTGGATTTAAGCAGCAGCATCATTGGTTCAGGAGATGGTTTGATACTTTTTCAGGTATACAGCTGGAGTAATTGGTGGGCTATCAGCAGTAGCAGCCTGTGCTCCAAGTGATCAGTTTCTCAACATGGGAGGTCCACTTGCCATTGCCCTGGCTGTTGTTTTTGCTGCTTCCCTTGGTAAGGTGATCTACTGAAAAGTCAACCCATACAGGGCTGTATAATGTATGACTTAATGACAAGTTCCTTGATACTTAGACATTTTCTTTGCCAGTTGACATGTATTATAAGGTGCCATGCCTTAGCTTGGATTATCCTCTTTATTCCTTTTTTCAGGTAGCATTTTCTTGCCACCAACCACACTTATTGGGTCTGGACTGTACAGCCTCAGTATCTATGGGGGACTGATCTTATTCAGTGGTTTTCTTCTGTATGATACTCAGCGCATCATCCGAAATGCTGAAGCAATCCCCTACAACCACACTTATGACCCTGTGAATGCGTAAGTGGCTGTCAAAATATATTAATTAAATTACTTGTCAGATTTCCTAGTATTCTTTTCAGACTGATAGAAGACATCTGTTCCAACAAAGAATAGGAGTTTTTTCTATGGTGCTGGCAAAAGTGACTAGACTACTTTTTCTCCTCCTGTCACTTACATGTAGGCACCAGAAATCTGCACTATTTCAAGGCTGACTTGCGTCCCATTCCCATCACACAATTCTCTGTGTATGCGAGGGCAAAGGCAAAATGCATCCAAATCCCATTTTCTCCTTTCCAGCCCTGGATAATAATCTGAAAAGAGACTTGGAAAGGTGCTATTTCCATATAAACATTTTTCAAGCCCCACACTTCACTTTGCTGAAAAACTTAGTTGGCGAGCTTTATGGATTTGCCCTGCACATATCCTGCACACCAATGGAAATATTTTTTAGAATCTCTACTGATGCAAAATGCCCCTTGGCCCTTCTTCAGCCATGGAAATAGTAATGTGAGAAAGAAATATATTCTGATTATTTTTGTTTGCCAGCATATTTAAAAATTGCTTGTGATGTCCACGTGTGCATTGGTGAGACTAAATTGGTTTTGAAGAAGTCTGCATTGTATCTGTTACTTTTCACATAAAAGAGGAGCTAATATGAAGAAGGGAAATTTTTTAAATTGTTACTTGTAAATTTTCATGTTTGTCTTTGCTTCTGTGCAGGTCCATCAGTATCTATTTGGACACCATGAACATCTTCATTCGGATTGTCTCTCTCTTGGCTGGTGGGGGTGGCCGAAGAAAGTAATGGGAAATCCTGATGATATCTGTGATGGGAACTTGTGGATACTCTGAGAGCTATCATTCATCTGACAGCCAGACCTGTGGATTCATGTGTAGAGTGAAATTCAACCAGAAGCACCCCTTAATTGAGTGTGTTAGAGAGCATGATTCCCATTTCCTAGCTGTATGAATTGTCCATTCTGAGGAGTATACTAATATTCATGTGGCTGTATCTGAAATAAAACCCAAAAGTTCAATCAACCAACGAATTCTTCCATTGCTCAACATTTGCAAGGATTTTGCCAGACTCGGTCTCTCAAGAGCCTAAATACAGTTTCCGAATTGAATTCGTACCCCCCTAGGTGTATTTCCATCGAGTGCAAGCAGGACTTCTTTTGAATGGAAGGTGAAGTATTAGAAGTGGTTGTCTAATACCTGATCTGTGGAGCCCTGCGCGGTTGCTTAAATTCAGATTGGCGAAACTCATTATCATATAAATGATAAGTTTGGTGATTTGGATTATTTCTCCCTTTCTAATTAGGCCGGGGACCTGATGGGTAATTGATAATGTCGCATGCTAGGGATTGCATCTTCTCTTGAATTGTCATTTTTGACAGCGAGATCCAGGTTTTTGACGGCAGAGAGAAGAGTCAACCAATATAACAAGGAATTGTAATGTTAGGGTGAAACGAGGGCAAGAAAGTAAGGTTTTTCAATGGACAGAGATTGGGAAATAATAGAGACCAGCCGTAGCCACCCGAGACGAAGCCGAGAGTCTTGCAACCGCAATTGGCAACGTTTTTGTCTCATCTCTACTGTTATCTTCAATGCATGGTCGATTCCCTGCGAGGTCGAACTATTTTATTGCGTTGGTGTTGGGTCTTTCTCTGCTGAGAAGGGCTGAAAATGGACCACGAAGAGGCATTCGTTGCATGTGGCCATCCCAATGTTTTTGGATGACAATTATCTGTAAATAACCAGAAATGCTATTATAATTGCCGCAGGAAGTCATGATTCACGAAGTCTCTTCCTGTTGAGGGGCCTGCAAGTTTCAGTTATGTTCGACAATATGCAGTGATGTTCGAAGATGGGATACCGTTTTCCAAGAACATTCGAGAACTGGAGAATTTCCTTTCGTGGTTGTTCTTATTGGCTTCATTTTATTGGAGAAAAGCGGATTTTCTTCTCTGTGGTCATCCCAAATCGGAATCATCAACGATCCGACAACCGTGCAGGGCCAAAGGCTTGACATCTTGCAGATCGTCTAAAAATCTTGTGCTTTTCCCGTTCTCCACAATAGAGGGGGGGGGGGGGGGACGAATTTAATCCGGAAATCTGAAAGCTGTTAGCATGCACCAATCATGATTTTCATACAACACATGTATGAAATATCAACATCATACTAATATTGAACCTTAAATTTAATTCACAAAGTTTGCTATTGTCCAATCTTAAATTCTTGCGTGTAAAATAAAAAAAGTCAATTCAGCCTCACAAGGCTGAATGCCTACATTTCCTATTCAAGTTCAACATTTATTGCCAAGCAAGACTTGTTCATTACACTGGGCACTACATATAGCCAGACTGGTGCTGCTTTGTTGTAGGCTCTTGCCATCTGGGTTGTGAACAGTGATGAAAATCAATGGGAACTTGTTGCAGGAACCTTAAAAAAAATAATAACCAAAAAAAAATTCGCCAAAGGGTGCTCTTGCAATCGATGACAATCCGCTCAAAAATATATATTGATCATAAAAGAAATCGCAACCGAAAGTTTTGACTGCAGCTGCGGCGGCGCAGGGGTTGTTCGCCGCATCATCCCCTTGTTTTGCAGCATTTCTATACTTCTGTAGGTTGACTTTCATCACTGGTCGTGAGCTTGCATTCGAACTTAATGCATCTGCTTTTCGGGCAGGCAAGGTGGTGTGCCATTTGAGCGCCAGGCTGACAATCTATTCCACAGAAGATTTACAAATTACAAGTAGTTGCAGGGGTCATGGCTAGATCGCATCAAGTGTCAGCGGGACCCGCTAGAAGAGTTGAAAAAGAAGACACGATCCTTGCGACTACTTGTAACCTGTAAATCTTCTGTGGAATAGGCCCCTGGAAGGAGCTAAATTACAGGTTCAATCCCAGCCCTCCTCTGGCTAATATCAAATGTCTTGCCCCTGCAGGACGCAATTGTAATATTTCTCTCGGCATTAGCACATCAGATAATGAAAGCTGTGCGTCATAATCCCACGCCAGATTCAATTATTACATGTAAGTGATTTAATATTACATGATGCATACATTGTATGGGAATTTCCTGTATATTTCGAGGTTTTGGGTGTGGGGATATACCCCACCTGCTACCTGAAGTGTACTATGTGGCGCAAAATTCTCATGAATTTTCAGTCATATACGAGGTCTGATCAAAAAGTTGTAAGACTTAATTTTTTTATGACGCTGTGGTGACTTTTTCTGACTGCTGATGGTTATATCCTTTAAACTAGTCCTCTTCGGCATCTACACAAATTTTCCGGCGTTTCTTCAGCCACTGGAAGCATTGCTGACACTCATCTTTTGGAGTCACCAACACCGCTCGCGGCGCGTTGGTAATGTTGTTTTAAATGTTCTGAGATTTCCTTTCTTTTGCAATTTCAGCAGTTTCTGACCTACCCCGCAATCCCGTGCTTCATCAGCCATCCAACTCGTCGGGGTTTAGCTCCTAGTAATTTATTTTTGTTCCCTAAACTAAAGAATGTGCTGAAATGAAGGAGATTTTGGCATTCAAAGCAAAATTTAAAACGCGCCGCGAGCGCTGCTGCTGATTCCAAAAGATGAGTGCCAGCAGTGCTTCCGGCGGCTGAAGAAACACCGGAAAATTCGTGTAGATGCCGAAGAGGACTAGTTTAAAGAATATAATTTGCAGCCGGAAAGAGTCACCACAGCGTCATAAAAAATTAAGTCTTAGAACTTTTTGATCCCACCTCGTATGGCGAGTGGCGAACGTATTTGACACCATGGTCTTAGATCGTGTCTTGTTCCTTTCCGTTGCTGACTTTTGGCAATTTCCACCGGCCGATATGACAGTACGCTTTTAATTAGTAGCAGACATGAACCATTACATTACATCAAATGGTTTCCAATTCCGTGCACTTGCGCAGTTTGTTGCAACATCCAACGGTGCCACGATCTACTTCGGGAAAGGGTTATCTGACATGAAATGCTCAAATGATCATCACTCACGTGAATCGATGAAAGGCAAGATGATAAGGCATGCACAGAAATATAGCAGCATCTTCATATCAGAAATTGGGTCGAACCTTGGAGCACTTGGCATCACAAAGCCGAAAACTCCAATTCTAATTTGAAATGAATAGAGGAAAGACAGCGATGTATGTTCCCTCAGAGGCCACGTCTCCTTTCCAAACGCAGCACGATTACTTCTGAGTATCACGTGGGTTTCTCTCCCTTCTGTCTGGCCACTCGACTTATCTCAAGTACTGTGCTTTCTCGAGATTCCGTAGTGTACCAACATAATTTATCTTTGGTTTGGAGATGACTTCCGCATGAGCATCACGTAATAAGCCGCTTTAAACACAAGGATTCTCACACCCTGGACGCTTTACCTCGAGAGGCACACCCGTAGGAATTGCTTGCGTCAAGCAGACGATTTCCCCTCTTTGTCGAGAACTTCCACGAGAGCGAAGTTCTGTTGGTGCATGTGTTTCATAATTATTTCCGCCCCCGTTTGACCATTACCTCATTCCCATATATTTAGGATAAAACAAATGTTACGTGCCTTCTACAGACTTCAGACGAGGGAGCAGCCGTCTAACTCATGAAAGGTATTTGCGAAGCAGGTGTATTTCACAACATTCACGTGAAATTCCGCTGTAATCCACGCGTTTTCAAAATGTAGTTTCATTTGTACTAACAGAACATTTCATTCGACTGCACGCGCTATGCACACTTCCGGAATAAATTCGATTTCATCACCATTGTAATAACAGTATATTGATTCACAAGCTTCATTATATTGGTGCAAGATTTTCATGTTATTATCGTCGCCGTTTAATGAGATTGTTTTGTCCAACCACTCTATCCCAGCTGTTCTCGAATAGCATGGGAGGTAGGGAAAGGAAGGGGAATCCCCTTCCTTTGAGGGAGACGATTTTTCCGGGCTGTTCTATACGACAGCTTGGAGATTAAATCGAGGGCCTAGTAACAATTTTCAGCACTCACACAAAACAATGGACGGCTAATTCCTACAATTAAGGCGATTAAATAGCAAAAGTATTACATTTCGGAATCACCCGCATATCATAAATTGAAGGGTGAAAACGGTCTTTCAAGAGCTTTCCCCGTTCTGCAACCTACAATCCTCCCCCCCTCTCCTCTTTAGGATTCACATATGTTAAGCCTCAGCCTAACCCACGGGCTCTCTTCACGCCGCACTGTAACGGTCACTGTCACCGAAAATGTACTACTGAAAGCTTTTCTGGGGGAGCATGCACGTAAGAAACTCAAAGACAATGTGCATCGGCTTCGGTATACTTCAAGAACCCAAGAGCGAGTAAAAAGAGACCAAATCGCTTCCATACCAACATATAGTACAGAAGGAATTGCTGGCTATGAGAACCGAGCACCCATACAAGGAAAAATGGCTTCCCGATTACCAAACAATGAATAGTACTCTCTATCGAGTTAGATCTAGCACTTTTTCCAGGATGGCAAGGTCACGAGCGGAACTCCATATTCTACCCGACCATTGGCCTATCCTGGACTATCGTCTTTTTCTTTAACGAGATTATGACGGAGGGAAGAGGATTATTTCCAGCACAGTGGAGAACCTTTGGCAAATAAGACATCCTGAGCAAACCTTCATAGATGGGACGTTCCACGCATCCACGAAACTGTCCTTCCAGCTTTATAAACCCACTAGCTGCTACCCGTGAAACATTCACGTCTTCCAACTTGAAATGAATCGCCTTTTGTTCCATACCGTTCAAATGAAACACACCGTCTTGGGAAATTAAATATTGGCTTAATATTGAGCCAATCCCGTCATCCTCCACCGAATTCCCTTCATACCAAATTTCAGGGGGTTCCCTTCCATAATATTCTAATGAGACACCCCGTGCGGATTTGGAACTCTCGGGTATCATATGAAGGAGGGGATTTTCCGATATAACAATTTTCAGCGAGTTCCGCCTCGTAGCATTCGAATTTGTAACACCCGGGTATTGGATAGGGTATGATTTTGAGCCATGCAGAGATGCAGATC